GGAGATGGGAGGGAGGGAGGGAGGCGTGAGGGAGGGAGAGAGGAAGGGAGGGAGGTGGAATTTCATTTCTTCCACTAAAGCGTTTGCGGAGACTTCAAGGTATAATCTATCCCAGATCCTTTCCCAGAGAGAAACTTGGCGATCACGTTTTCACATGATGCTCACGCTCAGGGCGCTTCAATTATCCCTCCCCACAAAGATAGGTGGCGCGTGTTTCAGGGTCTCTCCTCTCTCTCCTACAGAAAAGAAAAAGAAAAAAATGTCATTAGAAGAGGCGTAACACGTCAGTCCGTCCCCAGGTTTGTGTTTCCTGGAGTGGCCGAAAGAGATCAGTTCTAACCTGCTCCGCAGGAATAACGGTCCTGCCTCCCAACACTCTTGGCGAGGTTTTGTACAGTTTGCTCCGGGAGCTGTTTCTTCGCTTCCACCTTTTTCTCCCCCACACTTCGCGGCTTCTTCATGCTTTTTCTTCTCACCATTTCTGGCCAAAACTACAAACAAGACTTCGCAGGTAGGTTTTTTCCCCTTTTTCTCTCTTTTTACCCCCTTTTTTTTGGTGTGCTCTTCCCCCACCCTCCTTTGCTGGTTTTCTCCTTTCGAGTGAGGCTGTGAGTCTGAAGTGAGAGGGGTGTCTGTGGGTAGGAATTTCAGGTGGGTTTGGCTCGGTTATAGCCAGCTTTTCCCAGGAGTGGCTTCTTCCTTTCCCTCGCAACTCCAGCTCTCTCCTTCCTTTTTTTCCCCTCCTTTTTCCCTCCCCCACCAATAAATTGTCCTGTACCTGTCCATCCAGGTAACCAAAGGTGCCTTTCGCTACCCAGCTTGGGAAAAGTTTGATTGAGAACTAACTGTATGGCTGGAATACAAGCTCGTCCCGGGGAGAGTTTCTGCACAATTTTTGCATCTGATTCTAATTCATTATATTCAGCAATTAAAACTTGGCAAATATCTGTTAATCATTACAAAACTTGATTGATACGGATCTAGCAAAATTCGGATGCAAGTCTCTCTTTTAGGCACAGCAGTCCCCCCTCTCCCCGCGGAGAAGGCTGTTTTCTAAGCAGAAAGTTGCCTGTTTTTGTCCGCTTAGCGAGTTTCATTTCTTTATTTCATTCTTTCTGTGTGTGTGTGTGTGAAGTAACACCTCAGTTTCTGTGATCATAAATAAAGAAGTGAAAGTCCTCATGGAGCCCGAGTCGTTTACCAAAGTGAGGGGTGATCACCACAACTGGGAAGAAAATTGCTGTCAGGATAGCAGGGTCTTCAAGGAAGGATAACTTTGGGGATTGTGTTTTAAATGGCAAAGTCAGATAAACATGGACACGCACAGACACACATACATACAATTCCAGTCCATACTTTAGCACTGAAAAGTCAAGAGCCAGAGATATCAGAAGTTCCCAGGAGCAGTGGTGAGCTCGGCTCACTGGAACATGTTTATCTCTCACCTACTTATATATTTTACATGCTCCCCCTGTAATGATGAGGGCAAGATTACTAACTCCAGAGTAAGAAATAACAGGCAAAGATAAAGTTTACAGCACAAATGCCCTGTCTCCCTCACACACACATGCTCATAAAACTAACAGCTTACTTTATTAAACATGTATTTATATGCAATCCTGTGTAAGTCTCAGCATGAATACAGACAGGCCAGCTGTTTCATCCCAGACACTTGTGTGACCGTTTCTTTATTTCAGAATTTTCCCAACAATTTCAAAACAGTGGGAAAGCCAAGAAATGACAAAATGTGCCCAACTTAAATGAAAAGTCTTCTTGCATGCCTAGGTTAAATTTAAGGTGCTTTCTAAAAGGTCCACTTCCCCTTCTCGCCGCACCCCCCCACCCCACCCCTACCACCACCACCACCCCTCTCAACAAATGTGTGGAAACTGATACTCACTTTCCAGGTTTTCCCAAAAGCTGCTCGCAAGGGAGACAATAGGTGTGGGGCGTGGGGATGGAGTGTGCTAGGCAGAGAAAGGGTTAATGGCCCTTGTGTTACAGTTTGCATCTGTTACATCTTTTATAGCCCCCTGTTTAAACTAATCCTCGAGGCACAGCATCTTCCCCACCTCCCCCGAGTTTCAGGATTCTCCTCCTCTGCTGCCTGCCTCCGAGATTCCCTTCTCCAAGTTTTGACAGTTTCAGCTGGGGGGAAAAAAATGCAGCGCCTCTCTCGATTTTTAGGTACAAAAGTTTCGAAGCCAGAAACGATACGAACATTTAGGAGAGCTTAAAAGTATCGCCGTACTGTGTACGGTTAGACTTTCTCTTTCTTTTCTTAAGGAAGACAAAAAAAATTTTTTCTCCTGGAACGTTTTAAGGGGCACCAGGGTGGGGAGCTTGTATGTGAGTGAAGTGTGATGGGGGGTGGGGTGGGGATACTTAAGTAAATATTGTCCAACTGGCGGGGGAGGGGTGGGTGTCAGTGTCCAAAGAAGCTTATAATTATATTTCTTATGGCGGCGTGAAAGGGGGATCTTAATTTGAGGAGTGGGGGGGTGGAGACTGTGCCTCGATTAACTCCAAAAGGGGAGGGGAGGGGGCGCGGGGCAAGTGGGCTTCCTATAATTACTATTATCAATTTACCAGAGTGTGCTTCAGCTGGGGGCTCTTTCGCGATGTTTGTTTATTTGTTTGTTTGTTTCCTCTGGGGAGTTTGGGGTGGGGTGGGGGGCCAAGATGAGAGCGAAAGAAAGCCTCACCTCACCCCAAGTTCCTGAGCCGGGCTGAGGACTTTTCGGAGGAAGGGGTCCGCCTAGCCCTGAGTCAAACAGCCGACTGTACGGCCGCGTGCATTCCCTCATACGGTCAGGAGTTATGACTCATTTTGAAGATGTAATTCTTGTCTCTCTGATCCCTTCGCGGGTGCAACACACCAAACAGTAACAAACACAAAGCGCCTCGGGGCCAAGGCTGGAG